GATGACTGAGAGTTCAAGGTGATGTAGCAAGTAAATGACAGCCTGAACTGCCTACCAAGAGTATCTAAAAAGGGAGAAAGTAAAATGGAAGATGTGATGAAAAAATCAATTTTATTCCTTATAATGAGAATTTAAAAGTGTTTTGTACAGTGTTAGTGTAATAAAAATTTCATATTGTATGCTAAATTTGTGTTTCATTTTATAGGTAAGTAAACATTAAGTCATGTATGTGTATAACTTTGTCTACTATATTTGGTTAATAATAAAATGTAGCCCAGAAAAATCATTTTTCATTCTTGATCAGTTGCTCTTTTTTCACTTTAGAACTGATTGTGTTCCTTTGATTATATATCTGTAATCTAAGAACTATTTCACTTTTGAGATTTTTAAAGCTAATGCGGTCTAAAATAACTATGAGATAAAAAAATGTAAAATACGAATTCATTTATATTATTAGTTGTAGTTAGTACATCTGTTAAGAAAACAGTATTAAGAAAACTGACCACAATGAACCCTTATCTTTAGAATCACTGATCCAGTTTTAAAAAATATTTATGGTAGAATTCAGATAATCCAGTATATTTACATGTGCTAAGTATACTTAATAAAGGAGTAATTGATAAATTCATTAGGTCATGTTACCAAATTGAGTTGAGAAATTCAGGAAGGAAGGGAGGAACAATGGAAAGAAAAAAGGGAAGGAAGGAAGGAAGGAATAAAGGAAAGTGGGAGGAAAAAAGAAGGGAGAAGGTATTGGAAGCTGCGCAAACTTCCAACCACCAAGGGCACTGCAGCAGGATAACAAAAGACAAGAACAGATCTCTACTGAATAGAGGGGGAAGATGGTCAAAGCTGTTCTCAGGCTGAGAGCTGTCTCCCGAAGTTGGCCATTATTTATTGAACAAACAGCTCCTCAAAGTAGTAAAGGTCACTTTGAGGAACAGTGGAGAAGAGAGTACTGACTTGAGCATGGTCCTAGCAACAAGGGAACAAGACTTTCTTGCACACGAAGTATCATTTTTAATAAATTTTATTATTGTATCCCTTTCTCCCTCAAGCCTCCTCCCTTCTATATTTATGGAAAGTTTTGTTTGCATTTTTTCCTTCTACTTTCACTTTTTTTCTTTTCCTTTCTTTCCTCTCTCCCTTCCTTTTCCCTAATTCCCTTTTCCATCTGAACTCTTTCTTTCCATTTGCCAACATCCATTAAACATTTCAGTGCCTATTTACAATGCAGTATTCAAACATGTGTCTGATTTATTTCACTAAAGTGTATGCTCAAGGTCCATCAGGAACAGATCATTAATTGCTGGAAAATTTGGTATTTTCCATCAATTCATTTTTGCTTCAATAGAAATTTTATGTACGAGTCATGTTGCCCTTAGCTGCAACGTTGTCTTGCCATCCAAGATGTCACAGCCTCAAGGCTCATTGAAACCTCCACTGTGACCAGAGGTGTGGGGAGTTGTTCTGTTCCCACACACCAAGTGCTGGCTTTCCAAGCAACCCATTGTGGGCTAATAGGCAAACTCCGACTTTTTACATGAAAAGCCAATTCATGAATCTGTAGCTCACTCTGGGCGGTCTCCATCAGGGAAGACAAGAAAGAGAAAACAAAACTGAATTTAATAAATTTCTGTGTTAATGAGGATCATTCTGTCATAATTGGAGCTATAACACTGAATCTGTGTCCTCCAGTAATCATTAGTTACAGTGTTTTCCCTGTCTCTGAACCCAGAAAAGAAATGCCAAGAATAGAAATAAGTGAATACCAATGATTTAATTGAATATCTTATTATCAGTCACAGAAAACACTAGTGTTGTGACCAGATGGCGTTGTCCCCAAAGACCACCAAGGAGCCGAGTCCAATGTAATTACATGAGAAGTTTATTGCAGGCTCGAGCCCGGCAAGCTTGAGCCTGGGCCCTCATACCTCACTGACTAAGAGGATCAGGAAGAAGAGAGCCCCGACCCTTTTCTGAGGCATACTTTTATAAGGTTTGGGTGGCTTAAAATCTATTCCTTTCTTATTGATGCCTTATCTTACTTTCTATTACTATTGAATATTGCTGGGGTTCTTGAAAGAACAGGAGGGCAGAAGCGGGAAATAAAGGGAGGGACAGGTTCAGCTTGGGGTCAGTGTGGTTAACTGCAGGTTTAGCACGATGACTGGTTCTAGGTGCTATTTTAGGGCATCAGGAACAGGATGTTCTAAAGGCTGGCAATTATATATTCTTGCCAATCCTGGAAATACTTTTGTTTCTCTTACTTTGGTGTATTCAGTCCTGAAGGAAATTGAGATAGGTTAAATAAATTTAGGACTGATCAACCTTATGTGACCAGTTTTTAGACAGCTGCTCCTTAAGTTAACATGCTTATGTGCAGGGCTAAGCAGGCATCTGTCCTGAAGTTTTAAGGTAATAAAGGAGATAAATATGAAATAAAGCAGAGATGCCAAACTTTATCCTGCTTTTAGTTACCCATTGCACATCTATAGGCTCAGCCTCTGAGACCTTGCCATAATATGTTTTTCTTCAATGAAATCATTACTAATTCCTGGGTGTGCTGATGTATTGAGCCTACACAGTACACATAATAAAGGAAATTGATGATTTAGAGGTGGAAGTTGGGCAGGGAGATAAGTATTGTAGCTTGTGCAGGATTTTCGGAACTGAGAGCATAGCGTTAGATGACATACATAAGGAAGTAAACTTTTTGCCTTTCTGTGATGGAAAGTGAGATAATAGGGTTAAGTTCCCTTAAAAGTAGAAAGTGATGATATATTCTATATACCATATGAATAGTCAAAGTTAACGTCACTTAGTTGTTTTCCTAGTCTCTCTGTTTCTTTAAAACTAGTTATTAGAACCAAACAGAGATTTAACACCAACTGCTAGTTTATGAGCTCTTCTTTCAGAAGTAGAATATTTAGATAATATACAATATAGTAACAGTAGAAATTCAATTTTGGAAATATGCTACTCTGCTTTCTTTTCTTTCTAGACGTATTGTGGAAGAATTTCCTGCAGAGAAGAACTGCTGAGATATCTGAATTTGGGCAAGCTCCACCTTAAGAGATGAGATGATGAGAACTCAAACCTGGATGAGGTCAGTTTGAATAACACAACACTAAATTGGCAGATGTTTAAAAAGAGTGCAGTGTGTGGCCATTTGAGAGATGCAGATGAAAACAACACTGAGATTCCATTTCACCCCAGAAGGAGTGGCTGCTATCAAGAAATCAACAGATAACAAATGTCAGCAGGGTTATAGGGAGAAAGAAACCTTCTCCATTGTTGGTGGGAGTGTAGACTGGTGAACCACGGTGAAAATCAATATGAAGATGCCTCAGACAACTAGGTCCCGTTTGACCCAGCTATGTCCCTGCTGGATATCTTCCAAAAAGAATTAAAAGAATCATGCCACAGTGATACATGTGCACCCATGTTTATGGCAGCACAGTTTGTAATAGCTAAAGTTTGGAAACAGCCCAAGTGGCCATCAACTGGAGACTGAATAAACACGGTTTAAAAAAAAAATAATATGGAGTACAACTGAGCCACAAAGAATGAGAAATTAGAGTCATTTATAGCTAAATGGTTTCACAGTGAGGCCAGGCTGTTAAGTGAAATAAATAGGACACACATGTGTAAGTACTGAATAATATCTCTGGTATGAGAAACTGAAAGTGAAAATAAGGATTAAAATGAGTAACTGATAATGTGAAATAGGAAGAAAAGGTACTAAGGAGTAGGGGAACTGGGCAGCAGGGGAAAGGAAAGAAGGAAAAGGCAAAAATAATATGAGATAAGAAATAAATGGAAAAAAAGCTTTTGCAAAGGGGGGGTGGAGGCGTTAAAGGAGGGCAGGGGAATGGGGAAAAATAATAACAAGATACATCATGTAAAGGTACAAGTTCCCAATGATGAATGTAAATGTATTGTATACCTAAAATGTACCCATAAAAACATTTAAGAGAAAAAAAAAAAGAGTGCAGTGTGGAAGGTAAAACCTGAATTACCCAGTAAATCAGAAGTTCTTTTACACCCAAATAAACCATGTTTTTAACTAAGTCATGTTTTCTTTTTTTCAATTTTTATTTTTATTAGTACGTTTAAAGGAGGGCAGGGGAATGGGGAAAAATAATAACAAGATACATCATGTAAAGGTACAAGTTCGCAATGATGAATGTAAATGTATTGTATACCTAAAATGTACCCATAAAAAAATTTAAGAGAAAAAAAAAAAGAGTGCAGTGTGGAAGATAAAACCTGAATTACCCAGTAAATCAGAAGTTCTTTTACACCCAAACAAACCATGTTTTTAACTAAGTCATGTTTTCTTTTTTTCAATTTTTATTTTTATTAGTACATATTTGTGTATATAATGATCACATTCTTCATGAGAATTTGGTCCATGTACATAACACATCTCAGTTATTTTTCATATATATTGTGATTCTAAGCTCTCAAGACTGCCTGGTGTTAGATAGTATATTTATGCAATGCAGATGTTTTGAATTACACTTTTTATAAAAGGTTGTTTAAGTGTGTGGAAGAGTGAAAATACCTCCCCAAATACATTGCTTTGGCACATGTGCAGTTGGTTATTCAGGGAAACTGCAGAGCAGGCAGACACAGAAACCGCTCTGAAGGGCTGTGGTTGTGTAAAAAGAAGTTTCCCTTGATCTACCTTAGTGAACAGCGGATGTGGGCGAGGCCTCTTCTAGTTGACGACTCCCCTTCTGCTAGGGAAGATCTTTTCCCAGGAGCAGACTGGGGACCTGAAGACTGACTCGCACAGAGAAGGCCACAGGTGGCCCTCACTGGAAGACTTCATCTCCCTCGGGTGACAGCACGTGCTGGCTGTTATCTCCTCCCCTCTATTTTAGGAAGAGGATATACAGATATTTCGCCTACACCTGCCTTTTGTGTAATTACTTTTCCCCATGTGATGCACTTGTGAACGACAATGAATTTTTAACATCATTATCGTCTACTGATTTTGATCAATTGCCAGTTTATTTCAGAGACTTAATGAGTGGGGTGGAAAGAGAAGTATCCTTCGCCCGTATAACAATTTGGGGGAAATTCAAGGAAAACGGAAGAGCTGAAAAAAAAGAGGAGATCCAGGAGATCAAGGTATTTAAATCTTGATTTCTTCATGGTCAGGTAGCAGTTTTATTCGCTAACTGTTTGAAAAAGGAAAGAATAGCTCCTGGCATCTGCAAGAACAAAAAAACAAACAAAAAATTAGTAGCTTCTTGTTTTAAAAATAGTTGGGTTTTTTTAGATTGCAATAGGACATTTATACTATTTGTGCTTCTTGTTTTGAGTTTTGCAGAAATTAGGCAGAACATTTTCAGAACATTTTCTTTACCACCAAACCTAGTTCATGCTAAACTTCAGGTTTTGCCACACAAAGTCACCCATTTAAACTGTAACAATAAAGACAGACAAAATAATAGGAGTGGATCAAATCAAGTGATCTTTTTTTTGGGTGGTGCAAAGGTTCGAATTGAGGACCTCACACCTACTAGGCAAGTGTTCTATCTCTGACCTACAGCCCCAGCTCAAGTGACATCTTGAATTAATGCTGGCATTCTGAGTTAACTATGTCCATGTGAATGTGCCAATTATCAACATCATCCTCACTGCAGTGTGTTCCCAGTCAATCTGGGTGAGATATTTCATAGAAGATAGAAATTGTCCTTCACATTCTATTCAGTTTTGAGAGACTTCCTGGAATTGCTTTCTAAAATTGTCTGAGTTACTTTTCTTGTTGCTGAGACACAATACCTGACACAAGTTAGAGGAGGAGAGGTTGATTTCAGCTCACAGTGGGTAGAGGTTTCACTCTATAGTCAGCTGGCTCTAAGGTAGGGTGGCCTGGCACAGGGCATCACCCAGGAGAAATGGTTCATGGCATGGCAGGCAGAAGGCAGTGAGCCTGTCCTCCATTTGTCCCTTTATATCCCACCCAGGCTACAAGCCTATTGGTGGGTGCCAGCCACACCCAGGATGGGCCTTCCCATTAGCCATATCCAAAACTGCTAAACCAATCAGTGGACTAACTGAGTTTCCCTCATTCCATATTCACAACCCCTTCCTTCAGATTCACACACTCCAGATCCAGCCACCTACGAAAAGCCCTATGTGTGAACACATGAGGCTTTTGGGGAACATCTAGTTACAAGTCATACATTCATCACAGAAATCACATGTGTACTTTTATGCAGTGTAGGTACAAACATATAAGCATATAACTGTACCTACATGTCTGTATGCACACACACATATATAGAAATGCATGGTTCATGTACCTTAACAGTTGCTCCCTGAGAGCCACTTTCATCCACCTTTTTATGACAGCTACACCTGTGCTCTGTCCTGCCATTGGCACCATCTCCTCAGCTCACTAGTAAATCACAGACACCTTGACTTGGAAGTTAGCCTGGTCAATCCATGGTTTCCTAGGGAAAGTCTCCAACTGAAAGTCTTTTGAGTTTTGTGTTATACACATTTTGAAAGAATTATTATGCCCTCATTAAAACTGGGACAGTGATTTTTTTCTTCCATTTTATGACACCTACTTGGAAGTTAGCCTGGTCAATCCATGGTTTCCTAGGGAAAGTCTCCAACTGAAAGTCTTTTGGGTTTTGTGATATACACATTTTGAAAGAATTATTATGCCCTCATTAAAACTGGGACAGTGATTTTTTTTCTTCCATTTTATGACACCTCACACAACTGGATACCTGGATAAATGGATTCTGGGCTTGGAAAATGAATAACCAAGCCTTCCTTTTGCCTCTGGAAAATTCTTCTATGACCTACACTTTGTTATCCAACCTGGATCTAGAGCACAGAGTTCCATGATTTCTGTAACTCAGATACTACAATGACTTTAGTGTTCATATTCTGCTATGACACCTCACACAACTGGATACCTGGATAGAATGGATTCTGGGCTTGGGAAATGAATAACCAAGCCTTCCTTTTGCCTCTGGAAAATTGTTCTATGACCTACACTTTGTTATCCAACCTGGATCTAGAGCACAGAGTTCCATGATTTCTGTAACTCAGATACTACAATGACTTTAGTGTTCCCATATTCTGCACTTAAGTGTTCCTGAACCTCACTCAGGATGGTGTTGGATCTGTGCTTTCCTCCTGGACTCTTACTTGAGAGACGCCTCAGGAGGATTTCCCTGCTCCCCTCCACTTCAGTGTCCCTGTCCTCCAAATACTAGCATTTCTGTTAGCGTTTAAAATACACATCTCCCTAGCCTTTGCTTTCAGGCTTAAGGACATAATCAAGAGCCAAGAAACAGCTGACCATGCTACATATTTCTTCTTATGTTCTTTATATGAAATATTTTCAAATACACTCAGTGAAAGTAGAGAGACTACGTACATGGGGCTTTCCTCTTCACAGTGCATCCGTTCTTGGAAATGAATGGGAGAAAGCACTGGTGGTCATTAAGAAAGTCCAAGGGGGTGGGGGTGAGAAAGCCCAAAGATAAACTTACAATTACAGTAATTGGTGGTGGTTGAATAACAATTTCCTCTGGCACCATGTGTTCCTGATAAAAGTGGAGAATTGTGTTAGATGAAGAGAATTCTCGAGTTCCTCCAGAAGATAAGACTGTGGAGCTGTACTTCATTAAGAAGCATTGCTTCCTGACACTGCTTTTCATGCAGACATCTTCTCTTTACTCTGCATTCTGGATTGTGTTAAATTTGCTTTAGTTTTTGCCATAAACTGTTTGGAATGCTAGCTTAGCTCTGCATATTAAAGAAATTGAGAAAAAAATGCTAATTCTGTGCCATGCAGGAAATTATATTCTTACCTTAAGTGCTTCCTCATATAGTGTCGGAGCACATTTCTTTGCCTTTTCTTATTGAAAATTAAAAAATGAATATGTGACTATATTAAATCATCTTTTTTCAGAGACTTCATGTTAAACATTTATGAAGGAGCTATTTTTTTTCATAGCTTGGAATTTAAGAAGCAGAGAGACATAAATAAATAAATAAATAAATAAATAAATAAATAAATAAACTCTTCAATTCAAGAAGCAGAGAAAAATGTCTCCTTTAATTTCTTTTAAGGAATTCAAGTGTCACCCAGAAGTAGGAATTATAATTGTTGCTCCAACAAAAATGTGAAAGAAAGAAGTAGATAAGGGTAACCTTCTTACCAAACCGTCATCAAGTTCAGATTTAGCCATACATGCTGGACAGATTAAGTTGTAAAAAACTGGGGAAATATAACATTGAATTGTGGACATACAATTCTTGAAAGTTGAAAAAATTCAGACTCACCGTTTCAGTGCCATCTGTGGAGGTGAGGGTAGCACGATCCTCTAAATAAAGAGAAGAAGAGTTTGTAGTATTGTAGTGTAGCTCCTAGTGGAGGCGTTGGAGCAAGTTCTAACCTAACAGCTCCATTAGGATTAGGAGTATATAGTCTGTCTATTACCCAGGGAATGTTTTCTTGTTCTTAATAATTTGTGTCAGTAGTCGTGGAACAAGAGCAAGTTAAACTCAAACCAAACAATAGTTCTTAAAATGTTTAAAGTTACAGGTGCTTCACGTACATCGTGAAAACAATCACTAATTCCCATGTTTATAAGATGTGTTGAAATTGAGGACAATTGAGTCTATATTCCTCATGATGGGGAGAGTGTTTTGGAGGGACAAGTGACAGATTTTCAGATGCTGCCTGGAGGAGAGATTGTTTTTCTCACTCAAGTCTGTCTTAGCTCTGAGAACAGGGTTTTTATACTTACCTGTTTCTACCTATACCACCAAGATAGTAAGTAAGTCATCCTACTTCCCAGTAATGTTCAACAAATCAGCCCCCCTCCCATAGGACTCTTTATGTGGATGCTAATCACGCTTTGATTTACTTTCACTGTTAGGAGGCAGCCAATAGATTTATAGATTTACTGAATTGCAATTGCATCTATGGTTTGACAGAGAGATCTGCAGAAAGTGTGAAGTTACAGAGAATATTGAGACATAATCATGGAAAAATAATTTATAGAAATCTCCTTTCCTTTGATTATTTAGGTCTCCAGTGTTTCTTTATAAACTGTAGTATGAAAATAGTATCTGGAGTAACAAGGAAATTCTAGGTGATTAGTTTTGCCCATGAACATCAAGAATGGTTAAGAGCTTCATTGTGGTGTGCAGTAGGGCAGTTTCATCATTGAAGGTGAGGACAGGCACTTGGTTTCTAAGAACCAATTCACAGATTTGTTAATACCATGGAAATACAGCTGACATCAGGAAAACATGTTGCTCAGCAGGATTGTTTAGCTTAGTAAAAATTGTTTTCAGACCAAGCTTTAGTCAAATAATTGACAACTCATCCTGAGAGCAGAGGGCTGAAATCAGTCATTTGGATTTTTGATCCAACAATGTACTCAATTGCAAAGCTTCTAGACTATAACTTTATAACGTTATAAACGTGACTATCAGGGAGTTGTATTTCACCTTCAAGGACCATCACCTTATGTCAATCTGTGACTTAGTACCAAATGATGGAATATTAATCTCTGTAACTATTCTCTTTCTTTCCCCACATCTCCAGTAAACTTAATATATTAATTATGCCCTTTAGTCCTAGCACTAATTTTCACCTGTCACTCAGCATAGAAGTAGACTCATATCTTTACACTCTAAAATAATTTGTTCTTTGGTGATGAACCTTCTCCCTCTCCCAAACCATTTCTCCTCCTGTGTTTATGATAACGCTTTTTTAGTGGTAAGAGAGTATGGACAATAAATTGGCAGTGTTTGGTGAGTAGAAATAAGGATTCAAGAAGTCCTGTAGTTTTCATTATTTGGTGAGTAGAGTGAGAAAGATCATCAGTTTTCACCTCAAGATCCTGTCCCAGTAGTCATCATGGAGCTGACTGGAATTAGAATATTTGCAGTCTCTCAGCTTGAGGAAAAAGCTGGGAGAAACTCCTGACAAGAGCAGTGTAAGTCTCTGCTCCTGTGAAGCTTGATCCACTATGACTATCATTATCAAGATTGCTGCATGATATACCAGAAATGCATCTATTTCTGTGTTGAGTAAAAAAGTAGCCAGTCACTTCTATATGAAGAAATGAAGAAATAAAAAATTCCAGTTGAATACATTCTAATTTTCAAAGGGTAAATTCCACCATGGAGTGACCTCCTCTGTGTCCTTTTCCTCCTCACTCCTGTCATGGACACATATGAGAGTGTCTGCAGCAGTAAATCATCACCATCATCATCATCATCACCACCACCACCACCACCACCACCACCATCATCGCAATAATTCCTAGTAGGTTTTAAGATATTTTAATTCTACTAAAAAGGAAATACAGCGTCTGCCAAAAAATGTATACATACTTCAGGAAATGAAATACTAACTTTGATGAGACATCACTAAATTAACACAAGCTACCTTTGGCCTCTACAATTAGAAGAGGTGCTCTAAGTGGTGAGTATTACCTTTGAGACATTTATTACACAGCAAACTGCTGCTTGCTTAAACTTGAAAATTGAGATTGCTACATATGCATTTTCAGTTTCTTCTCTAAGGTCTGACAGTGTGGTGGGTTTTCCGTGATATATGGCATCTGCTAAAGCCCCCTATAGAAGGGTAACACAATCTGTTGAAAAAAACACCATACCGTTTTTCTTCTCGGAAGTGTGTGTATGTTTTGTTAGCAGACTCTGTATGATTAAATTTTACTGATGTGTCACCTTTCACTGAGCGTACTGAGGTTACTGAAAAAATAAACCACAGCTTGTTAGAAAGAAAAGAGGAGAGATTTCATCTATATCTTGATAAGGAAAGATGTGCACATAGACCCAGAGAGAAGGTGCTCCAACCTACACTTCCCTTAGGTATTGGACCCCGAAATCTCTTTTAGAAGGTGAATCTGACTTACGGCTTGAAACCATGAGGCTACACAGGCCGATCACAAGGAGAACCATGAAGGTCATCGCGGTAAACGGAAGAACCAATTTACAGAAAGCAGAAGTCTCAAGTAGATAGACTCAATGTTTGGCTGAGTAGATGGTCTTTTATATAAGGCAGTGATCTCTTATGACTTGTTTTTCATGTAAAAATTTTAATGATTTGAAACAAGGAAAATAGACACTAAGTAAATAAAACTGAACAAATAACATAGTCTAAAGTTGAATGACAAGGTCATCTGCCTCAAAGAACATTACTCTTTCAAATATATTCTGAGAGGAAGATATTAAAATAAGAACTATCTAGATAAGGATTAATTTCAGAGCTAACTGTTAGGTTTCTTGCAGAGATTTCCTATTAAAAATTATTTCATTGAAAAATGTAATTTGCTGCAGCCTATTCCAGACAAATGTGAATTCTCCCCTCTTTTGAGATTAAATTAGTTTGGTTTTCATCTATTTAAAAATTTCTATTGAGATATCTTTTTATATGTTATCTTTAGGAATGTGTAGTATAATGTATGTATTTTGAACTTTCCTAGTTATTTTCACTTTGACAACTTTGATTCAATTTTTGGGGGGTCTTTAAGTAGGAATTGTGTGATTTTTACTCTTAAATTTTAAGTGTATTTTACAGCCCAAAACAAAGTGTATCTTAGTAAATGTGTTTTCTTATTTTTGTGATAGCAAGGATTGACCCTAGACCATTGGTGATATCCCTAGCCTCTTCCTTATTCTATATTTTAAGATGAGGATTCATTATGTCACTCTGAGCTTAAGAAAAATATGTTTATATTGCCTTCCAAACTCCAGTCATATTCTCCTTATTTAGCACCCTTGTCAATGTTTGCCACAATAACATTTTTTTTCCACAAGACAAGTTTTTATTGGGGAGAAAGAGCTGTCAAGCTACCTCAAACATTCCGAGAGACTGAGACTAACTGGGGTGATGTTTATATAGGGCATAGGGAGTTTATATAGGGAGAGTATCCTGAGAGTTGAGCAATGGGCAGCCAGGGATTGGAAGGGGAGGATCACATGGGTAGCAGGATGGAGCAACAAGTTAGGGTTTGCTTCTCCAGAGGGGATAGGTTTCACTTTTCCAAAATGCTTCATTTCCATAAGTGAGAACCATTCTAGGAACAGGAGCCATTTTAGAATGTAAGACCATTGGGATATTTTGTCTGGTAGAGCCCTCTATCTTTCCAGACTCTTGTTATTATGGAATAGGAGTTAAAGTCTCTTTTTCTGCAACTGCTTTCTGTGAGCAAAGGGTCAATGTTGGGTGGGGGCTTTAGACAGCCAAAGTATGGTCTTGGTAGGTGGAGCCAGCATCAGTAGTGAGGGGCTGTGATAGCTGCCCATGAGGAGTTTGCCTACCATCTGGTTGGAAAAGGCCCACATGAGTTCCTGTAAGAAATTCTGTAAACAGTGAAACAGGCAGGGTGTAACAAACAACATTATGGAGAAGATGGTGAGGGGACCTAGGCAAGGGAGGAGCCACGGGAGCCATTGGTCAAAATATCCTGATAATAGTTATAACCTGTCTAGATTTTGATTACACATTTTCATGCACTGTCTAAGATCTCCTACCTTGTTGCCTATGTTTCCTTTCAAAGTATCAGCACTCTTCTCCCAGTATAAGATATATCTCCCTCTTTCTGCTGTGACACCTACTGTGAAATACCATTACTTGTGGATTAATCTTCGACTGTAGGGTGATGAAGGAGTCTGCCGCCTTTTTAAATCCTCATGTAGCTCCTGAGATAGGGAGCAAGTGAAATGTGTTGATATTGAAATTCCCAAGATGCCTGTGCCTTTTCCTGCCAGAAATCAGGGTCCCATTAGGAAGGGGAGTACAGGAGGGCCAATTGTTAAGATGGTGGATATTAGTTTAAAAAAAAAGAAGTGTAGCACATTTCTTGTTGATATTATCTGTATGATCACTTTGAATTTGGCAGCTGATAGGCAAGCATGAGCCAGATTTTTAAAGAACTTAGAGCCTGAAAAACAGAAGCCTGAGCACACTAGAATGGAAGGGCAGGTTGGGGAGAAATCCTCACTTAGATACTGAAATAGTGAGTGATTATAACCTGTTGCTCTCAGAGTCTTTCATTGATAAAGCTTATCTATAAATCTGATACTTTGTCAGAAGTCTCTCTCATTTTAGCTGTAAGAAGAGACAATGTGAACAGCAAATTTTTATCGTTTCTTATTCTTTTGGCTAAGATCAAGTGTGAAGAAGAAATTTCACAAAGAAATGTAAAACTCTAGCTGAGCTCTTGTAGATTTTACCATAGTTTCTCCTAATGATCCATAACCACAGTCAGTGACTAGTAGAGCTAGAAATAGCCAGAAGGGGTTAGTGACTGGAGCCCCTTTTTATACCTAGCTTTATTATTATGGCACATTTTATGCCTCTTTGTGTTATTCTTTTCTGCTGGGTGTTTGAGACCAAGTGAAAGTGAGACCTGTGTCAGTCAATATGAACATCTTGCCATCTATCATAGTCAGGTAAATCTCTTTAGGCATTATTTTGGAACCATGCATAGAGCCTCTCAGCTCCGCCATCAGTGTCAGCCATCAGGGTGAGTCAAAGCCTTGCTTGACCTTGTTGCCTTCCATGAAAGCTTGGGAGATTTTTCCCTCTTTGTGACCCTCCTTTGGCACCAGGTACATTTGTCCTCTGTTGTCCTTCAATCTCCCTGCTCAGGAGGTTGGGTGGCATACCAAAGATATCGGATCCCATAGAAAAGGTTCCTCATGTCCTTAAGTCTTTGTTGACATCAAGAGTCTAGGGCCAAAATATTGGCAGTCCTCATACCCAGTTTCCTTTCTAGATTTGGTCTCCAAGATTTTGTTGTTGAACAACAGAAGAAAAGATCAGTGACAGTAGTGCAGTAGTGGCAGTGAGCTTAAGTATTATAATTTTACCTGAATATCAAGCATTTTGGAATCTAAAATATAATTAGAGGACTGTTTTTTATCAATCATGGTTGATCTAGTAGTGGAATTCCTGTAGAATATTAAAAGAAAAAAACTTGAATCAGGAGCCACTCATAATAATAATAATAATACTTTAGCATGGCAATCATGATATAATCTTTGTAACAAACTTAGATATGTATCTTGGTTTAAAATGGTCCTTTTTAAATGCACTCACTCCCCCACAAAAGCACATACAAAACTCTGAAACAAATAACTGTTTTGATAGATTGCCACCTAAAGAAAATATATTGGCTTATAAATGTAATTGTTATCACACATAGCTTGATCATAGCAGAAGGGCAAATACATAATCAACAGGTTATTACTTTAAATGATATATTAGAAAACCTGTACAATCAGAAAGTATGAATACATTTTTACACCAGACAAGTAGCAATAATAATTATTATAATTATATCAAATTTTATGTCCTATAATATAGATAGGTATCAAAGGCATCTTCTTAATAGCACCTTGTTTTTCCCACTGAAATGTTTGTTTTGATGATAACCAATATAATCATGTTACAATAAAACATTTAGAAATGAAACCTTGATGATAGCCAAAACAAACATTTTATAATAACTTTTAATCAGCATTAATTTTGGGTGTGTCTTCCCATAGGCTATGACAATTATTTGGGTTCCCAGTAGTGAACAAAGACCAGAAATAACTATTTTCTGGGCACCTGCTGCTTTATGCATCAAGGGGAGTCCCATCATCCAACCATCTCCCCAAACTTAAAAGTCTTTATTTAATTACCTTGACAATTTTGTTTTTATATAATCTGTAAAAGCCAGAATTAACAATCAACAATTTATTTGTAACCAATATATAGATATATATGTATACTTTGTGAGTTATACAATGTACACAGCTTATATTTTTTTTTTTTTTAGATTATTGTTACTTTGAGATACACACCACAGTTACATTCATTATTGGAATATTGTACCTTTACATGTCAGGTCTTGGTTCTCATTTGTTCCCCTTCCCTGCCCTCCCATCACTCCCTCTTCCCTCCACATTTGCAGACACTTTATTTCTACTTTTTCATTTTCTCCTATTTCTTTCTTTTCGCTTATTAACTTTCCCCTACCATTCCACCTTTCCCTAGACAATTAGCCCTTTTCTTCCTATTTCTCATTATCAATTGTCTCATTAGCATCTTATGTACTATAATGGTTTATTCACACCAGAGAAACTATTCAGTATGTACACATGTGTGACTTATGTATTTCACTTAGGAGTTATCCTCAAAAATGTATACATTTTCCTATGAATGAATCTAATTTCTCATTCTTTATGGCTGAGTAGTATTCCATTTTATAGAAAAACCACATTTTTTTATAGAGTTTCCATGTGATGGGAAAATGGGCTGTTTCCAAGTTTTAACTATTACAAACTATGTTGCTATAAACATAGGGGTGCATATATCACTGTGATATGATTCTTTTAGTTCTTTTAGGAAGATACCAAGCAGAGGGATGTCTGGGTCTAATGGAAACTCTATTCCCAGCACTTTGAGGTATCTCCATATTGCTTTCCATAGTGGATGCACCAGTCTGCATTCCCAACAAAAATGAAGAAGGGTTCCTTTCTGCACACAACCCTGCAAAAATTTGTTATTGTTTGATTTCTTGATAGCAGCCATTCTTTGTGTGGTGAGGTGAAAATTCAGTGTTGTTTTCATCTGCATCTCTCAATTACCAGTGATGTGGAACATTTTTTCATATATTTAGTTGCTGGTTTTACTTCCTTGTCTGAGAAATATCTGTTCATTTCAGATGCCCATTTTTGAATCAGGTCTTTATATTTGGGGGACTGATTATTTTGAGTTCTGTATCTACTCTAGATAACAGCCCTTTGCCTGAGGAGCAGCTGGCAAAACTTTTTACCCACATTGCAGGCTGTCTTTTAGTTCAGTTGATGGTTTATTTTGCAGTGCAGAAGCTTCTTAATATGATGAGATCCCAGTTGTTGATTCTTTCTGCTAGTTCCCATGCTACTGAGGATTTGTTCATAAAGTCTTTTCCTATCCCAGAGTCTTCAAGAGTTCTGCCTAACTTATCTTCCAGCAAGTTTGTTGTTTATCTTTTAATATTTATATCTTTAATCCACTTGGATTTTAGTTTAGTGAATGGTGACAGATAAGGGTCTAGTTTTAATCCTTGGCAGGTTGAATCCAGCTTATCCAACAACATTTATTAAAGAGGCTATGTTTCCTCCAGTGAGGATGGTCAGCTCCTTTGTCAAAGAAGATGTAGCTGAGTACATCTGGAATTGTGTTTGTGTCTTCCAATCTGTTCCACTGATGCTCAAGTCTTTTTCATTGCCAGTACCATGCTATTTTATCACAGTGCCCTTGTAGTATAGTTTCAAATGGGAATTGTTATAGCAGCTGTCATGTGTCTGTTGCCTAGTATATCTTTTGTTTTTCTAGGTCTCTTATGGTTCAAAATGAATTTTTGGATTTTTTTTTCTCGTTCTTTAAAGTACAGTGTTGGAATTTCAGTTGGCAGTGCATTGAATATATATATAGCAGTTTTGGTAGTATGGACATTTTCACTATGTTGATTCTTCTTTCCCAGGAGCAGGGGATATATTTCCATTTTATTACATTCTCTTCGATCTTTTTTTTTTCAGAGTGCTGTAGTTTTCTTTGTAGAGGTCTTTTGCTTCTTTTGTTAGAGTGATTGCCAGATACTTCATTGTTTTGGATGCTGTTGTGAAATGAATTGTTTCCCTAAAGTCTCTCTCAGTGAGTCTGTTATTTGTGTACAAGAAGGCTATTGATTTTTGGGTATTGATCTTGAATCTAGCTACTCTGATAAAAGAGTTCAGTCTAGCCATCTTTTAGTGGAGTGTTTTGGGTCTTCAATGTAGAATATCATATCATGAGCAAATAATGACAGTTTAACTTCTTCCTTTCCTCTCTTTATTGCTTTAATTTCTTTCACTTGTCTCATTGGCATGGCTAATATTTCCAAAACCACATCAAATAGGAGTGATGATAGTGAGCGTCCTGGTATTGTTCCCAATTTTAATGTGAAAGTTTTCAGTTTTTGACCATTTAATATGATGTTTGTTTTTGTTTTTTCATAGATAGCCTTTATTAAGTTGAGATATAGACCATCTATTCCAGTTTTTTGCAGTGTTTTTATCATGAGGGGGTGTTGAATTTTGTCAAATGCTTTTTCTGCATCTATCAAGAGGATCACAGGGTTTTTGTCCTTGACTATGTTCATATAGTGTATTACATTTATTGACTTGTGTATGTTGAACCATCCTTGCATCCCTGCAATAAATCCAACTTGGTCAGGGTTGATCATATGATCTTCTTGATGATCCTCTGTATTGTGTTTGCTAGTATCTTATTAAGTATTTTTGTGTCTTTATTCATTGAGGAGATTGGCTTGTAGTTCTCTTTTTTAGTTGCATCATTCCCTGATTTGGGAATCAAAGTGATACTTGCTTCCAGGAATAAATTTGGAAGTATTGCTTTCCTTTCAATTTCATTGAAAATTTTGAAGAGTAATGGCAGTAGTTCTTCTCTAAATGTATTGTAAAATTATGCAGTGAATCCATCAGGACCTGGGCTTTTCTTTGTTAGTAATTTTTAAAATATATTTTCAATTTCACTGATTGTAATTGGGGTGCTTAAAATATTTGTATCTTCTTTGTTCAACTTTGCCATTTCATAAGTATCTAGAAATCTGTCCATTTCTTCTGTGTTTTCTATTTTATTAAAGTACAGGTTCTCAAAGTATGTATTGACTATCCTCTGGATTTCTTTTGGAACTGTTGTGACTTGACCTTCTTCATTCCTGACTGCCTGGATCTGAGCCTTTTCTTTCCTCTTTTGAAAATGTTAGCTAAGGCTTTATCAATTTTATGTATTCTTTCAAAAAAACAACTCTTTGATTCATTTATTTTTTATCATTTTCTCAGTTTCCATTGCATTGGTTTGTGCTCTAAACTTTATAATTTCCTCTCTTGTTCAAGCTTTGGGTTTTTCTAATTCTTGTTTTTCTATGAGTCTGATTCATCATTAGGTTGTTTATTTGAGCTCCCTCTGTTTTCCCACTGTTGGCATTCAATGCTATGAATTTTCCTCGTAGAATTGCTTTCATTGTGTTCCATAGATTCCTGTGTGTTGTATTGACATTTTCATTTATTTATAAAACTGTCTAATTTCTTCTTTAGTTTCCTCTGTGATCCATTGATTGCTCAGGAGAGGGCTGTTCAATTTCCATGTACTTGTGATGTTCCTATGGTTTCTGATGCTATTGATCTCCTGCTTGATTGCACTATGATCTGTTAATATAAAGGGGATAATTTTGATTCCTTTGCATTTATTCAAAACTGTTCTGTGAGCTACTATGTTGCCTATCTTGGATGATAACCCATGTGCAGCCAAAAAGAATGTATATTCTGATTTTGTGGGGTGGAACACTGTGTAGGCAAGTCCATGCATTCAAAAGCCTCCTTCAATTCTACTATTTCATTGTTGATTTTTTGGTGATACAATTTCTCTATTTGGAATAGTGGGGTATTTAGATACCCACTACAATTGTATTCATGCTTATTTGGTCTTTCATGCTACTTAATAGTTGTTTTATATAGTTAGGAGCATAAATATTTGGTGCATATATGGTTATGATTGTCATCACTTCCTCTAGAATTGTTCCATTTACAAGGATGTAGTGGACTTCTTTGTCTCTTTGAATCAGTTTTGGCTTGTAATTTACTTCATGTGTGAATAAGATTGCTACCCCTGCTTTTTTCTGGGCTCCAGTGACATGGAGAACTGTTTTCCTTCCTTTCACTTTCAGTCTATAGCCTTCAATTTGCACTAGGTGTTTTTTTGTATACAACATAGTGTTGGATTTTGCTTCTTAATCCATTCTGTCAGGCGATATCTCTTGATTGGTGAATTGAGGTCATTGACATGATGGCTATAAATGATATGTACTGACTTATTATTGTCATGTTATTGTCCTTTTGTTTACTCTGTTTTCTTTTTCC